AACTTAATCTTTCTGGTCGTTCAAATTGTTTTCACATCGAAATCTTAGCGTAATGTTATCCCCCTAATGTAAGTTAAATTCAAATATATTTTCACAATTAGTTTATGTGGGGATTTACACAGTTCAGATGAGTAATCTTAATCAATTCTGGAAATTTTCCTATTCAAATATTTTCAAATAGGTATATTATGGCCCTATGTATTCACCCACTACAATGCTTATATACTCTGGTATATAAAATCAGTTGAGGGCACTTTGTGTATCAGTATGTATGTATGTAGTACAAAAAAGGAGGAAAGAACCCCAAAAGAAGATGCACTCTTAAAGGCTGAGTAGTAATGAAGTAAAATTATCTGTTTATATATGTAAGTACATACAAAAAGTTGTGCGAGCCACAATAGGCTTGAATAATTGGTGTACTGGTGGCAATGCGTAAACTGACCACTCAGTCAAAGTAATAAAATTAATTAAAGGGAAGACACTGGCATTCACGAGGCAGCATGAATGTACAATAGGGTGTCTGCTAATTACCAAGTTAATTTACTTTTTCAGTTCGCAACCTATATTTGTAGATTACGTCCAAAAGCCAAATGTTTTGTCTGAAACATATATATAAATTAAATAGTAATTATTTTAAGATCTAATTTTCGCATATATTGCTACAGTTTTAAAACTTTCCTTACACTACATAAAACGAAATTTAATAGTTTCTATATAAGAAAACTTAGTCATAATGCGATTTTGTATTTCCTATCTAAAGTTGATACTGCCTCCAGCCAGCAAACCGCTAAAATAAATCAATTTGGTTTATAGGCACACCCTAATATACACATATGTATATTTACTTTGAATGATTTCTGCATGTAATTGTGATACACAAACACATCGCCACCATTAATGCAAACGACCCTAATTAACATTTTTTTTAGATACAATTTTTTAATTTTACGTTTGTTTCATTTGAAATACACTTCCATTCCAAATTTAATGCCAATTATGAAAAAAGAACTATTTAGAACAAAATGGAAGGCTTTTTCAATGTCTATTAAAAAGGAACAGTCCAGCACCTTCGTGTTTAAACGTTGAATACGTCGTATGGTTAAGAGCATATCCAAGTCAAAAACTAAGGCATACACTAAGAAAAAAACACCGATAACAAAAGAGATAATAATATCGATAGCAAAATGATAAAAACATCGATAAAAAAATATATGAAAATATCGATATCAAAATCGATGAAAATATCGATATCAAAATCGATAATAATACCAATCACAAAATCGATAAAATATGGATAATAAAATCGATATAATGTCGATGACAAAATCAATAACTAAATCCATTACAAAATCGATAACCAAATTTATCAAAAAATCGATTACAAAGTCGATAATAAAATCGATAAAAATATCGATAAAAAAAGCTATAACAATATCGATAGCAAAGTCGATAAAAATATCGGTAACAAAACCGATAAAAATATTGATGACAAAATCGATAAAAATATCGACAAAAAATCTATAGATATATCGATAATAAAACTAACAAAAATATCAATAAAAATATCGATAACAAAATCTAGAAATAATCGATAGTAAAATCGATGAAAATATCGATAACCAAATCGAGAAATAAGCGAAAATAGAATCGATAACAAAGTCGATAAAAAACTCGATAAAAAACATCGATAACAAAATCGATAAAAATATCGATCATTATATCGATAAGTTCCGAAAATATCGATAGCAAAATCAAATTTAATAACGGTAAAAATTTCGATAACAAAATCGATAAAAATGTCGATCAAAAAACCGAAAAAAAATTTGGATTATTATATCGATAAGTCCCGAGAATCCCGAAAATCTCTAAAATATCGAAATAGTTCCCAGACTGAATCTCTGAGCCTCTATCTATATTCCTTTCCCTAAAACTACCTTTATTTTAATCTTTCTTCCTCTATCTTCATCTATACTATTATCGGTATCCTCATCCTCATATTTTGCTTTATATTTATTTATATATACATATGTACGTATTCCCCTTCACCTTTGGCCATATATAAGTAAGTGTTTAAATTTACCTTAGTCTTCATATTTGCCTTTAACTCCACGAAACTTTGTTTTTGTTTTTTATTTTTACCTTTTCTTCATCTATGTACGTACTCACCTTTACTTTTGATCGGGGATTGGTAGTTTTCTGTGTTGTTTTACTTCAAAAAGTTTTCACGTATTATGCATACATTTGTTCATACATATATGTATGCACATATATAATATGTATAGACACACATAGATTACTAAAAAATAGAAACAGATCCACATTAACTGCAATCAACATACATAAATATAATGTACATACGCAACATACGCTGCGATTAGGTTACATATGTATGTTTATCAAAAGCCGAAATATGTACTGCCGCACACATCCATACTTTTTGTCTCCTTCCCTCACTTCCAACACATGCACGTGTTTGCAAACCGATGACGAAGTGATTTTGTTTGGAAAATCATTTATGCCCATATATTTGAAGCAAATAAAAATACTTAGAAGATATCAACCAATACTTCCCATACACCAAACGAAAGGAAAACTCTCGAGTTTTTGATTAAAGAAAACGAAAACAAAATCATTCAAGCGGTTTTCGAGCATTTGTACACGTAAGACGTATTCTATATCAAAAGGAATTTTTGTGATGTTTACATACATATGTAGTTATTTATGGTTATCTTTGAAAATAGTTAATCATGAATTTAGTTTCAAATCTGTTTGTGGAAATATTAGATTTTAGATTATGTACCCGTGGACTTGAACTAAAACAGACACATCGCAGCTTTAAATTTGCGTTGGGTGTCAAATGAGTGTGGTATTCATCTTAGCTCTTAGAATTATCAAATTCCTAAATTTTTACTTATTTAAAGAGGTAAAACGCAAGATTTGATAAAAGCGTTTCATTTGGGGTTCAATTTAAGCATCGAAATCACTTATGTTAGTAGATTATTTAAAATTGTCAAATAAAGATTCCTAGGAATTATATATCCATGCCAGTTTCATTAAAACTCTTTAGAATGTTTTTACCAGTATATGATTTTAGTAAGAAGCTGTAAAATAAAACTAATTTGCTAATAAGCGTTTGGATACAAAATTTTGTGTATGTCTATGCGTATGAGTAATATCTCGGCGCTTGTCTCACTCAAAGCGCTTAAGGTATTATATCTTAACTTTCATACAAAGAAGCTTGTTCAGCAAAGCGTTTCATTCTAATTTACAGTTAATATGTATCTTTGCTCATTTATGTGATAGCAAAACGGAGCGGCGAAGCGCTTATAACTTCAACGTATCTACGAGGGGACTACCAAAAGTTCAATAAATTAAAATAAAAAAGTAAAATAAATTAGTTTTTAAGTGTTTTTGAAGAATAAAAAAATTCTACACATTTTGTAAGAATCCTCCGATGCGCCATTCAATATTTGAAAGAATAGTAAGTCAGAATGCAGATGAGATAACCTACAATTTTTGACGAAAGGCCGCCACCGACATAGCAATTAGCTGTTTTAATGCCGTTTAACGCCGTTTAACGCCGTTTTAATGCTGCCTATTTCCAAAAATTAAGAAAATTATGAGGGGAAGGCCTTCAGTAGCAATGCGGAGATTATTAATGTGGTTAATGTCAAACCTTAGAGGATAAAAAATGTGATGTTGAAGACTGTTTTGAATTGTGGATGTTCAGGTTAAGGAAATATATTGAAATTAATGGGTGTTATATGGAAAATTTAAAAATTAATGAAGATTAAAAGTAGCAAATTAAAGAAATGATTGCGCGTTCGCCTCGTACATATACACGTACATATATACTTACATATGCATGTTTAACGTCACTCGCACTATTTATGTAATATGTGGTATAGTATTATTCATTCTTAATTCTACCCCTTGGTACATAAGGAGATGGCTACAATGTAGCTACACTATTAAAACATATGAAAATATGTATGCGTGTACATGTTTGTATTGTTGTTACAAATAAAGAGGAGGAGGTAAAGGAGCATATGTTCTTGAATGCTTTATTTCCAAGTTTTATTATCTTCCCTGCAAGTCCGAGACTTTGCTATTGTTACAGCCAATTATTTTGTATTTCTTTGTTCATAATTCTTTGTTTTGGGGTTATTTAGAACATTGGGAGAGTTCGAATAAAAGTGGTCAATTACATACACATTTACATAAGTATGGACATACATACATATGTACACCGTACTTATTTCGGTTTGTTTATAGATACTAGATATGTTCTATAACTTTTTGAGAAAGTATAAATAAGTTTGGAAGTATATACAGTAGGGTTGTCCAAAAATGCATGTAAAAAAGTGAAGTCGGAATTTTTATGCTATCACCCTCTAGGATTGTTCCATACCGAAAAAAATATACCCCTATTTTTTATTTTTAAATCGAAAAATATTTAGAGGTCGCTCAAAGCGCTCAAAGTTTTCCATGTATTTTATATGGGGAAAATGGTATGGGATTCTTGAACTCTGTTCTCCTCGGGAGATTTCCAATAATAAAACCCAATTAGTTTTCTAACCATTTTTTCATAGTAACAGAAAATGCAACGGGGCGATAAATAAAAAATTTTTAGTTTAAAGAAATGGTTAAATAAACAATTGGATATTGTTTTTGGAAGTTTCCTGAAGAGAACCAGAGTTTTCCGGCCGACATTTGTTTTTTCGTTTAGTAAGGGTTTAACCATTGTTGACCATTGAAATTAGATCTGGAAACATGCTTCACTGGGGCGTCCAGACCGCAGTATTAACCCAAAATGCCGGCGCTAGCCCGCAACTATCTGGCTGGGAAAATCCTGGGCTAACTGCTTCTCGGTTAATAAGGCAAACAAGGTAATCTTTAAAGATGCTTTATTGGTACTTACCCATTATCCAAATTTGCCGTTGGACGAAAATAGCTACGAGTATAACACTTAAAAATTAAAAGAAGAGTATTCACACTGTTTTTATTTATTGCATTGTATTTTGTTTTAGCCTTGCTATTGAGTGTTTGGTTTTGATTATTTTGCATTGATTTCACCTGAATACATTAATGCGTTAAATTTTTTATTACTTAATATTTTAGAGTTTTATACGTTAAATTTATTTAATATTTACATAAAATTTATTTAAATTTAGTTACCTTCGGCAAATATTCTTCTAATTTGGATGGTTTTGTGCCGAAATTTGTTTACGATTTTTTTTTATGCAATTACGTTAAATGTTTTGATTGATTCAACCTTCGGTTGTCCCAGTTAAACTTAGTCACTATGTATGATGAATATTCAATTGCCTTAAATTACATTAATTATATTGATATCCTACTTATTGATGTTTCACAACATTGTTTTCACACTTTCGTCGTCTTTATCTTAAATGTATGTATGTATGCAAGATGGTTTCAACAGTTAATAAAAAAGTCACTTAAGTTTTTGGTATGAAATTATTACGCTAAATATTCGTTTCATATTCTACTCGTCAGCACTGACTTCAAATCGCTCGATTTTGTTGGTCGTCGTCGCTCATTAGCCAGTAAGTAGCATTAGCAAAACTTAATTATTTACAAGTTGCTTTCTCAAGTCAAATCATTTTGTTTCACTTAGCCTGCTCACAGCGAAGTCAATACCAGCTAGTTGACTTACGTCAAAATGACAACCAGTCACGCCTTTGATATGGCCAGCAGCGCTAGCAGAAACAGAAGCCGGCCAGGAAATTTACCGCTTACCCTGTAGGAGCTCGCCGACGACATTATTGCCGATGCAGAATATTCCCCTAAAACAAAACAAAAAAACAAAGATAAGAAAGTGAAGCCCGATAAAACGATTTCTCGCCAATAATAATTGCAATATAGTATGTGTGTGTATGTATGTATGCATAGAATTTGTTCCATCTTTTAAGTACTTACCGCTCAGTACATGCAAATCCACAGAGACGGGCGCACTGTTTGACGGTTGGCAGGTGTAGTTGCCCGAATCTTTTTTCCTTACGAACGGTATTATCAACGAGCCAATCTGTTACGGGAGTTAATTTAAAGACAACCAATATAAATAAAGCTAACCCATATATATTAATTTGACCTACAGTATTGCGATTGCTATCCGCGTGGCCGAAAATCGTGCGGTCGATTTCTGTGTACCAGTCCAATTTATTATCGTTCGTGATTTGTGTCTTATCGCGGAACCAAATGATGTAGGTGGGCGGATCAAGTGTGTCGCGCACTATACAATGTAGTGCAACCTTGCTGCCGGCTTTAACGAAGCGGCTCTGATCGCCAATCAGCTCGGTGTGTGGTACTATGGAGAAATCAGAGAATACAAATATTTACATACATACCTACATAAAGCTTCCTAAGCACTTACCAACTACTCCCAAATAAACTTTTGCGCTAATTTTTGGCTCAGTGGACACTTGGCACTCGTACCAGCCTTCGTCGGTGTCCTGCACATATTTGATTTGCAGTGACCAGGTGTAATCGTCCTCGCCTTGAAATATAGACTGAAAGCGCTGGTCGGCAATGAAAGTTGCTTGGTCCACAGAAAGTATATGGCCATCGCGAAGACGTACCCAGGAAATCGGTTTGTTCAGTAAGCGATGGATCTGTTCAAAACAAAAAGGAGCCATGGGCATACAAAGAATGAAATGGGTGACATATAAAAGTATACAAAAGCTATATACATTTTTTTTCCAGGCATGCAAGTACGATTTGCATAGGTAGCTAAAGAAATATTCGTTAAATTTCTTTCAAGTGGAGCTCTTAAAGCTGATTCTTGATACTACTGTCACTTGAACATTGTTTTAGCTTGGCGTCGTTGGTACGACTATTATTTTTATTAGCACTGCTGTGAGTATTCTGTGAGTGCAAGCATTCTTATCAGAGTGGAACAACGCACACACACACCTAAAAAGAAAAGTAGCGCCATTTTCCAGGTGTGTTACATGTATGTACATACATAAATACATGTGTATGAGGGTGTGTGCGTGTACATATGTATAAAAATCTCCCTTTTTTATGCTACGAGAATGCGACAGTACTTCTGTGCCTGTGAAATGCAAAAATGTTCATTTCGCCAAAGTTTTGTGATGTGTCTGTATCAGATGTGCCGATTTGCATATCAACAATTTATTTTACATTTCTGCTTTACTGCTATCCTTCGTTATATTTTTTACTTCTACGTACATAGTACCTACGCATACCTGCTTTAGTATAAATATGTAAACACATACATATCTGCATTTGCGACATACATATTTATGTACGCATATCGCCTCTGCGTTTGTGTGAATACAAGTACAATTGTACACGTATCAATTGTTCACTATTTAAGTACGAGTATGCTGCTGTCTGATTTCGGTTATGTTTTTATTTTATTTTTGATTTTTTTTTTATTTGCTGCGATTACGCACGTGTCAAGGTAGTGATATGCTGTCAGCCACAACGCTCCGAAAGATACACCACCATATCACTACCATGTCCAACACCAGTACCGAAGCGCAAACACAGAACTCAAATGAATAAAATATGTATATTTTTACTCAGTGGTTTAATACATTTTTTTTGCTTGCCACAAAATTCAGTTGCTGTTTGTCTGTCACCAAACCGAAAAGGTAAACGGTACGCTACTGATTAAATGATGTTTATCTTGATTGGATTTTGGGAAAGTCTTATCGTGGCATCGGCAGTTCTGCGTTATTTATTCATATTAAATTTTTAAACTGTTGTTGCTTTCATCCACCATTCGTCGGTACTTTGACATACTGACCGGGCCGACACATTAAAGGTTTCTTTATATACATAAATACGTACGGAAAATGAGGAAGAGCTCAACGAATGCGTAGGAAGATTTAGGTTGCCAATACCGCAGGGTCGAAGCTGAGTAAAGGATGTCGCCATTCTGTGGCTTATCATTTTGTTGTGTTAAGACAGCTGTTGTCGTCTGTAAACCTGAATGTAAATTAATTAATTTACGGGACTATGATAAATCCAATGACTTCATATGCTTAATCTATGAGATTGATGACATTTTTGTAAAATTACAGAATCATATTCAAATGCGCATGCTTATGTAGATACATATGTATGTAGACCAGTGTATATGGTAGCTTGTCATTTTAATGATGCCTGTAACATATTCTGCTGATTATACAACCTTATTTGAATGCTCTTCCATTTTGAATAATTTATCTTGTTTTTCGCCAGCTACCTTCCCTTGGGTGAACCGTGTCGGCACAACACCCTGTCAAAACGCAATGATGTAAAGTGACTCAGACAAGTGTTCACATGTTGGTATTTCTAAATCCTCGCAATGTTAGTGAAGTATAACTTTGGTGCTATAAAAGTATTGTTTATCTTTTAACCAAAGTTTGAACTTTTTTCCATGAAACATAAAACATGAATTTCCTATAAAAGAAAATGCACGCGACTGTTCGCAAGGGGAATTACAAAAAATCAAAACCACTTTTTATAAATTGCATTTGCTATATGAAAAAGAAAAATATAAGTAAAAAAAATAAAGCGAATTCTTGGCTGCTTCAAAGATACTCTATTTTTTATATTAAAATTTTATGGCCTATACCCATTTTTTTTTTGTTTAGATAAAAAACAAAAATGTCGGCCGCTGTGGTGTAGTGGTAAGCAGTGCGCGCTTTCACTCATCAGCACCTGGGTTCAAGCCCTGTTCAAAGCAACATCGCAAAATATATAGAAAAAAGGTTTTTTCTTAACAGCGGTCGTCCCTCGGCAGGCAATGGCAAACCTCCGAGTGTATTTCTGCCATGAAAAACAGCTTCTCATAAAAATACAATCGCCGTTCGGAGTCGGCGTAAAACTGTAGGTCCCTCCGCTTTGTGTGACAACATCAAGGCGCACACCACAAGTCGGAGGAGAAGCTCGGCCAAACACTAACATATGTGTAAGCGCCAATCTATTATTATTATTATTAAAAAACAAAAATGTGAGGACTTGTTTCGGTCACTGTATGTAGTTAAATACTATGGAGATAATGTCATTGACGCATTCAAATGAAGCTTTCTTCCACTTTCACTGAATCACTTAAGCTTAGCTCAGTTACTTAAGTGCCTTCGAGTGCACAAATATGCACATACATACATACGAACGAACATACGTTTGTATGTGTATTTTTCATTTTTTCTTCATTGAAGTCAATTGCAAAAGAAACTCGAATAACTTTTAATATTTATTTATTTTATAATAAATGCTTTGGAGATATCAAGGAGCCGTCAAATAAATGAAAGCAAATATTACGAATAGAATATAACGGAGGAACTGTTTTAGACGCAATAAGGGTGACAATAATCAAGAGAAAAATAAAAAAAAGTTAAAATATTTTAACGAAACTTTGAATTTTGTGTATTTCGGTGCGTATTAACGGCATAACAAACATACGTATATGCATATGTATGTAGTTTTGGAGTGGTGTTCACCACTTATGTATGTAATTTTTTAATATTTTTTCTATCGACTTATAATGTATGAGACTATGTGAATCCCCCAAGCATGTTTAACTTAAGGGGAGAGCAGCCATAAGCCCCAAACTCCCTTTATTGGTAAGAGGGGGTCGCATGCCATGTGAATCCCCCAAGCATGTTTAATTTAAGGGGAGAGCAGCCATAAGCCCCAAACTTCCCTCATTGGTAAGCGGGGGTGGAATGCCAATAATGGCTGGAAAGTATGTAAATTTCATAATTAGTTCCAAAAGTTTAAGGTATGGATCGCGTCTGTAGCAAGAATAATCAGAAATAAAAGAACATATTTGTTAAAAAGGAGCGATACGTGAAATGTTTATAATTGTCGTCCTCCCACTTGTGATAAGTATTTATTTAATAAAAACTATCGAAATGATAATGTGCAACATTTGCGTAAATAAATCTTTTTCGATATCAGTTGCAGAGTTGAGTTTAGATTTCATCGGTCCATCGAGCGAATTTAGCATATTTATCACGTAGACCTAGTTAGCTTATATGGAGACCAATATTTGCTGAGTTGGTTTAAATTCTAAAGCAAGCTTAGTGAAACGATATCGAAGCAGAACCTCAAGTACTTCATTATAAATTTAGTGATGATTTAGTGATTTAGTCTCTACACTACGTTCCCTGCATTTTCTGCACTTTGTGGAAAGTTTTAAATTTTAAATGCGTCTCCTGAATTTTGTGAGCTCTGGCGGGCTTAGAAGTATAGTAAATGGGCGGCAATTCGCATATTTAGAAAAGGTGGATTTTAAATCATTATTTCTAATTTTATAAGAAGCAAAGTTATGTAAATATTTCAGCAAGATTATTGAGCTTTATACCTTAGCGAAATGGGTTAAAGCTACAAAGCCTAAGCATTATGTAAATGTGACCTGGTCTACGAAGAGGGAGCTTACGTGCGAAAACTAGTTTTCTGTGAAAAAGCTGTTAAAAGTAAGCAACTCGTTTTGTTTACTCGTTTTTACTCTTCTTTCTCTACATTTTTAGTACACTTCTAAGCAAGTTAGGATTTTCTGCTTTTCACCACGTGAAAAAGCATCTCATCTTCCATCCGAATCAACCAAAAAGTGAAAATTGATTTTTTGACACCTAAGCCCCCTTTCCGTAGACCAGGTCACAAATATTAATTATTTGCTTTCCAATCTGCAACATACTAAAAAATTGTCACATCTCTTAAGAAAACTTGAACTCAACAACGAATTCTTTAACCATGGAAGGTCATGCTTTGTTTTCAAATTTTTTCTCACAGCCCATGGGAAAACATCACGTAGATACTAAAAGAATTCTCGGAATATAGTTAACTTTTTTATGTCTAATTTTTCATTAAAAATAAAAGGTAAATCTACACGCCTACAACCCAATAATCTTCCCCGAATGGCAATTGTTTAATGTTTATATGTTTGTATGTAAAGCGTGGTCCATATAGTAAGTGGTTCCTTTTTAAACATTCAAAAAAAAAAATATATATATAAAAAAACAACTTTTCTTCGGTATGTTATTGGTTTATTCTAATTAGAAAACATT